ACATTCAGATCAGCATTTCACATTGATCAACACTTTGATCCATGATGAGGTATTAATAAAACACATTCTTTTTAATTTACTGTGGATATTCATAGTCCACGGGAATTATGAGAAAAATCAGTTCTCTCAACCCGGCACAATCATCTCTTGAGAAATACCTAAATTTGATGTGCAGATTGCATTGAAATATAATGATGAGGCTCTGCAGATGATCTATAAATATTCCTCTCATTACACTGACCTTTCTTAAAATGTCATCATAATGCAACAATCGTGCTTCCAAGTTCCAAGCTTTATGATATTTGTTTTATCTAGCACTTTATTATTCAGTACTGCCTCATCTTTTTACTTTTCATTAGATATGTTCGAAAGAGTGTTTCTGTGGATTTAATGAATATGTGAAATTATTTTGCTGTAAAGTCAATAACAGAAATTACCTCAGGTTGTTGCAGGAGAGTTACAGACTGAATTTTCCCTCAGGATGACAGTTGTGTGGTTTGGTTCATGATCCCTCATCAGAGTGCAGGAACAGGACTAGCATGGCCTCAAGCATCAAACTCCAGCATTTTTGTCTGAATGCTTCACATTTTCTTTCTCACTGAGATGTATACAGTGGACACATTTGTAAAGGAAAAATGAAGTGTGTGTAATAGATGAGGTCTGGCGTGACTTCTTCATTCATTTGTTTTTAGTTTAGTTCCAGAGTTGACTGGTCCGACTGTGTGTGTGTCTGTGTGTGTGTGTGTGTGTGTGTGTGTTTGTGTGGTTGCTGCTGTCAGAGTGGTGTTACTAAGAGATGCAATCATGTACAAACAGTCCTGTGTGATGCCAGGATGGATTGAGGTCTCTAATTACATGTTCTGTAAAAGAGAAATTTAATCCTAGATGTAAGTTATGTTTTCGACCTGTACATGGATACATTTTTTTCGGAGAACATGATCAAGTAGCAGTCCCTGGTGGAAAATATCAATGATTTAGGATATTAATATAAATTAGATATTTGGCAGCCATGTCATTAAATTAAACTATTGTTTCTCACATGGACAAGTTATTTATAACTCTAACATGCTACATATGTGCGTGCGTTCTGGTTTGTATGTTTTCTCCCCCTTCAAATTACAATCCAACAGCCAATCATCATACTGAACGATATAAATTTGACACTGTCAGGTCCATTCTCCATCCATTGTGTGCGGTCCCTTTAAGAATTAGGATTTGGGAGTGACGTGGATATGAAAGCTCGTTTATCCTTCTTTCCTTTACAAGCAGGAAAATTATTTCTCTCTTTATTTGAGAAAAGTTCATATTTGTGTTGTCAAATTTCACTATGACCCTGAAATTCGGTCTCTTGTGTTATCATATACTGAATGCAAGCAAAATTACAGAGCAAAATCACACTCTTTCTGATTGAACCAATCTATGAACTGTCTGAAACAATGGATATCCACGGCCCCAAATGGGCCCCAAAAAAAATTGCCGCGCACTACACGCGCAAACATGCCACTCCCCATGGGGCTAAGCCCCCCTTTCTTTGAATCCTAGAAACGCCCCTGAACGACACACAGAAAGTACCCTAGAGGGCATGTTTTTTATACTGGATCCTAAAGGGCACTTCATCCTGTTTTCTCAACTGAGAGGGCATCCTAGAGGGCACTTCATCACGTTTTCTCCACTTGAAAGGGCATTTTTATCTACCATAAGGACATCCAAGAGGGAACTTTTGCTGCAGTTTGTTCATGGCAGTAGTTGTGGCACTGGTTCGGACAATGGCTGGCGTTGGGCTCTCCCAATCTTAAATAAGGAGACAGGATTTGCTTACTTACTTACACTTACTTCATCCAACACATTATTATTGTAGGGTACAATTAACTTTTCATTTTCAAGAGGCCACAAGTAGGACTGTTAAACAATTTAATAACTGTTGTCATTGCCATAGATTACACAATAGGCATCTACTACAGGAGATAAAAAAGTCAGTTTAATTTACACTTCACTTTTCTCATCTGTATCCTCAGTCTGGTCTATTCTAAACTGTTGTAGCAGGCTATCATTTACACGCACACACACACACAGTCAGTGTTGTGTAATCTGATCCAGATCTCCTCCTGTACCCTACTCAACATCCAATCCTACTTAAATCGACAGAAGCAGAGAGAAGCTGAGCTACTTTAAGGAACAGGAAGTTGTAAAAAAAAAAACAAGATTAAAAGCACAACATAACAAACTTTAACAACTTCACTTTTGCTGTCTTTTTTTGCTCTTTTTACATCTTGGGGGACATTTTAGTGATTTATGCATTATTCGAAGGTTCCACTTACTGTACGGAAACTTCTCATGGTTGTAATTTATTTTTATTATAGGGAGTGAACTTAAAAGCATCTGTTATTTTATCATGCTATAAAATGTACTATAAGCTTTATATAAAATATTTCGGATTTGACCCCAGATCCTTTCAAGGATGTTGTGTGCTTTGCTCATTTTTATTAGACCTGTTCATTACTGTTGAATAAACTTTTGATCAAGGGAATCCTCACCCAGTTAAAACTGGTCTCATATTTCGTTTAATACAAGAACTGCATGCAGTTGAGTCATCATGGCAATCTGCCTCCTGTTCTGCCTACAGCGTTCACTACTGGAGCTGCTCTACAATCTGTGGACTAGAATCCCACATCTAACTAATTTATAAAACAAGGATTCTCATGTTCACTTTCTTACTCTTCACTTCTCTGGAGTAAACATGCGACGAGGGGTTCTCGCAATCGGACTCCGAAAGGGGACTCTCTCTTGGGTGAAAGTCATGTGTTTGTTTGACCAACCTGCACCACGCGGACTTCTACCTTTATACCAGTGGCGGCTGGTCAATAGAGGGCCATGGGGCCTGGGCCCACCTTGAGCCACAAAAAAAAAAATAAAATATATATATATATATATATATATATATATATAACAATCATAAATTATACAAATTGTCAATATTTGTGTTTTTGAACTATGGAATGTATCCAGTAATATGTGTCAAATATGATATCTGCGCAAAATATATGCTTTTCATGGTCGTCCTCTCCGCCTATATGTGCTCGTCTGCTCGTGCTCTCCGCCTGTGTGCACGACAGTCTCAGAACGCGCAGCAAGGGGGGCCAAATCGTTTTGGCCCAAAAGAGGCGGGTCTATGAAGCAGTTTAGACAATTGCTGATTAAAGATATAAATGAGTGACATACAATTTAGCCAATCAGCGCCCTCAAATAGATTCAGCGTGGCCCCCCTGGCTGCGCGTTCTCGTCAGGAGAAGTCTCTACAGGCGAGCACTACTCCTCCAAGTCTCGTTTGAGAGGAGAACTTTGGCAGAGATTCTGCAGGCCAAAGAGCTGATATCAGATCAGCCTGACCTCACAATCAGACAGCAGACTAGCGGGAAAGGAAGCAGTACATGCGAAGCTTCTCTAGCTGTACACCAGACAGGTTTGGCTAGCCGGATGACTTCATGCTAATAACTTATTTAGCTTTTTAAAACAACTGGGACAGATCCAGCATGACAGTTAGGGAGTGAGGGATGAGGAGGTAAGGAAACATGAGAACACCAGGACACACATGGAGAACTCTATCAAGCTACATATTAGGCAAAGTGAACATCTTTTCTTCTACATAGTTGTCCTCAGTCTCGTCTGCCTAACTTGGTCATGGAGGCATCAACAATTAATTGAGATGGTAAATTAACAGTGAAAACTCATCATAGCTTAATTTAACATCAGTATTCATAATTACACTTCATGTTTACTTCTCCTGATCTTTACCTCAGATAACAAGGTCCATAGGGGCATCTCAATAAATAACATGTTCTATTATATTATATAAGTGTTATTTACTGCTTTTTCATGTTGGAATAAATGTTAAATATTTAACTGCAAAGTAGTAATGCGTGTTTGATACTTTCATTTTTTTGCATTAAATCATACTGGGATGTTTGCTGAAATTGATAGGATGGCCCTACCTAGAAAATTTTCCACCAGCCGCCACTGCTTTATACTATGTATGTTTCTCTCCTTCAAATAATGATGCAGATGGGTTTACATTGGACTTAGCTGAAAGTAGGGCTGGGCGGTATGACCAAAAATGCATATCATGGTATTTTGTAAGACTCTGGCGGTTTCACGGTATTTTTTCTCTCACATTAAAGCATTAATTAATTAACGCCGAAAAGAAACGGCCGGCCAGCGAGCGGTGAACAGCTGTTTCTGTGGCGTGTCTTCCGTTCCGTCACTTCATGTTTTCTTCACCTACATTCCCCTGGGTCCTAAGCCCCTCCATGGAATGAAACAGGATTAGACCGTAGGATTTAGTTGTTAGTAGGTGTTGTTTAGGTTTATTTCTTCGGTTATTTTATTTTTATATTTATATATATATCTATATATATATATATATAT